TTTACTAATTTAGCCCTCACAAGGATTATATGATATAGGAACTATTATTATCTCACTTTACAGATAAGGGAATAGAGATACAAGAAGGTGGTAGACTTGCCTAGAATCACACAGAATGCCTGTGCTTTGAAACAAGTCATTAGAAAGAAGGCAAATTCTTTAAAGATTAATCCATCTGTCCATTCAGCATTCTTGTTAGGTATCTCGTACAATATCCAGAAAAATAAAATAATCTAGAGCAAGACAAGTAGAGTAACTAATTAAAACTAAAAGAGAAGGGATTGAGATTAGCTTCACCAAAAACCTCCTGGATAAAAGACTATATAGGAAAACAAAAAGTTCACGAAGTAATACTATAAAATGTCCTACGTAGGAATCAGAACTAATACCCAGCCTTGCTAATAGCTTGGATGGTATTAGAAAACCCCTTCAGGTGTGAAAGGGACTAAATGGATATCTGTTCTAGGCTTCTAAGAAGTAATAGCTGACTTTAAGGAGAAGTCAAGTATCCAAGAGCTTCCCCTGGCACCTTTTACCTGGTTTATGCAGGAACAGTGCTTGTTTTGACACTATAACCACCACAACTTTTTAGAACTGAGCCTGGCATGTAATACATGCTCAGTAAATATTTGCTGAATGAATGAATTACAAAGAATAAACGAATATAACAGTGAAATGTTTGTGGAAAGTTTTAGATAGTTTGGAAAGCACAGGTAAGACTTTGATTCAGAAGGTAGTCTTGAAGAAATCAAAGGAGGGGAGCAGGATTACAGAACCAGAAGTAAGAACCATAACTGAGCAAGAGTTTTACTTGAAAGATCTCTAAATAAGAGAGTGTGAGAGAGAAAATGAATGATAAAAGCAACAGCAATAATTAGAGATTAAGTCCTATAAATGTTTTTGAGCAGAGAGAAAGGTATTCATGTTTTCTCAATACGGTATTTTAGGGCCAGGCACAGTGGCTTATGTCTGTAATCCCAGCACTTTGGGAGGCCAAAGAGGGCACATCATTTGAGGTCAGGAGTTCAAGACCAGCCTGGCCAACATGGTGAAACCCTGTCTCTACTAAAAATGCAAAAATTAGCCAGGTGTGGTGGCTCATGCCTGTATTCCCAGCTACTCGGGAGGCTGAGGTAGGAGAATTACCTGAACCCGGGAGGCAGAGGTTGCAGTGAGCCGAGATTGCACCACTGCACTCCAGCCTGGGCGACAGAGCGAGACTCCACCTCAAAAAATAAAAAATGGTGTTTTATCAACACACTGTTAACAAAACAAACAAACAAACAAACAAAAAAAAACCAGCATGTGAAGACTTTAAATCTTGCAAATAATAATGATACAAACAGCAGCAAATAACAGGTGGGAGCACTTCTCTTGTGCCAGGCCCTGGGTGAAGTGCTGTAGTTATAGCGTGCACTGGTTAGGCACAAGAGCTCAGATTGATTCCCACCTCCTGCTCCAAATGACTGTGGTCAAATCATCATGTACAGTGTCATCTTATCTGTGAGATAATAATAGCATCTACTCTCTAGGCCTGAAGTTGCAAAGATTGAGACTGGTAGGGGTTTTGAAAAGTAAGGAATAAGGGCAAAATAGAAGAAGACGATTTAGAGCTCCAGTTTCACAAAAGGATAGGCATAATCACTGCAGCCTGGAGGGTGTGACAGGTAGTTCAGAACAAGCCATTCGTAAAATAATAAAACCAAAACACTGGGCTAGACTATCACTGTGTCATAATTTACCTTGTACTTCTGCACTTAATTTAATTTTCCCTTTCATTTCTTTATTTTCAAAATTTTCACTAATTTCCTATTTCTCTTTTCATGAATGTCTCCATCACTGAATGATGAGTTCCCTGAAGATGAAGGCTGTGCTTAGATCTTTCATTCTCTGCCCCTAGGACCATGCTAGACCCATAATTAATTGTGGTAAAATGATCAAGTGAACAGTAAGAAAACACTACATGAAAAGAAACTGATGTGAATGAGAATTTTAAGAATTTTTCAGGAAAAAGATATAAAAACACTTTCACAAAACAGAAAATTGGTAAGAGGAAATAATAATTTATGTAAGTAATATATATTCAACACATATATAATATATTCACACATAAACATATATTTGTGAGTGCAAACATACAGTTTGTCATTAAGATTCCCCAAAGTGACTTTCACTGAGTGTAACTCCATTATTCATTGTTTCTTCACCCCATACCATTCTTCTAAATAGATAATGAACACAGGTTTATGCGCTTCCCTATTTTGAAGAAGTGAGAAATTTAACTTAAGATTGGGAAGGAGAGTGAAGAAGAGCCTTGGAACTATCTGAAAGGGGCAGAGGAAGGACATTAACAGGGAGAACAGGGGACATGCTGTTCTCCTGAATTAACCCCAGGATAAGGAGAACTACCTGGGCATTCCTCACTAAGAATTCATCACTGTCCTGGCTCTCAATCTCTATCTTTACCACCTATCTTCTTGAGATCCTCCCCTGAATTCAGAATTTTTCTCTGATTGACAATATGATTGAACTCTGATTAACCCGTCTTCTGAGCAACCCTCCACTGGTGAATAAAACTTCTTATCTTCACACATTGATCCTAAAACATTTAATTCTATCCTCCCAGAAATTCTCAGTCAAGCAGCTCCCTCTCAGACAACTTGATTTCAGTCAGTCATAATTCCCCCTAAACACACATACACCTTATTTTGGGATGATCCCCTTCATATCTAGGATACACTTTAACTCCTAGGAAAGCTACACTTTACATGGGTTAGCCTAGCTTTTCCTGTGTTCCTGGTTGAGACATAACCTAGTACCTAGTCTCAAAAAATATTTGAGGAAATGACTTAGTGAATGAGCTGTCAAGAAGTCATTCCCTTAAGTGCTTGCCCCCAAGCATGTGACACAGGATACACAATTAGCTTCTACTCAGAAAGTCCCCTCTTCTTTCAGACACTCTGTCAACTGGAAACAGAGCTATTAAAGTTGAGGAGGTAAAAGAATCTATGCTTAAGCTAGAAATTTGCTCTTCAATACTAACACATGCTAAAAACTTGTGTATCACTAGCCTGGAATGACTGTATCTGCTCTGATCCCTGAGGCTCTGCCTTTTACTTGCATCTCTTAACCTCATTACAGAATAGGTACCAACTAAAACATAACCACCAAATCCTATGGTCTCCTCTCCATTGTAATTTCCATTTCAGCAACTGTCAGGGCACAGCTCTTTCAGCAAAATTAAACCTTGCCTGAGAACAGACCTATTTCCACCTCTAGTCTCCTAACTTGATCTTTCATTGTACTGAATTTTGATGGCACAGAGCCAAGCTTACAAATTCCTTGGTGTTCACTTTTATAAAAACTGTCCACATACAGTTACTGTTTGTTTCAATCATATATAATAAATGCCTTATTAACCAACCAATAGTTTCTTATACCTGGAAGGTGTTCAATAAAAGCATTGTGTCCAACCTAAAAATAAAATACTTAGTAACATCCATATTTAAAATCCATACAATTCTCAAACCATACATTTTGATTCCATGGACTTTTACAATGTGTTCTCTGATTTTTAAATATCCATAGGTAATATTATTGTCACCAAGGAATAAACCACCAGAAGCCACAAAGCAAAAAAGCATTTTTTTATAAACCAGGGAACTGGAAATTTTAAATAGGAGAAAGATTATTTTGTTTCATTTGAATGTTCTGCCAGGTATTTGTATTTCTTTTTTGAATTAAATTATACTAACTTCTAGAAGTTAATTTATCAATAGTTTCTGAGCAACCATTGTATTTAAGGTTTTAAGCCTATGGCATGGTTAATATGCCATACATTTATTTTTCTTAAAAGTACAATTATAATTTAAAATATTCAACCTAATAGAACAGTCTTTTAAAAAACTTTGCATAGAAAAATTATTACAAGAACATTCATGTTTTATAATTTTTGGAGTCAAAATGACAAAACCAAATGTCTTAAAGAAAAATTGGAATGTATTGATCATGGTTATTTTATATATCAATGCTATAAAAGCTAAAAGTGAATATGAAACTGACTGGCAGAAGTGAACCTGTCCTACATATAGCGAACTGAAAACAGACACCTGAAAAGATCAGCCAATACTTTATTAGATAAAAATAAGAAGGTACCAAACACTATTAAAATGGCATAAAGTTGGTGTTACAATTTCATCAAGCTAAAAATAGGTTACAGTAAGAATGACTTTAAGGGAAAATAAACAAAACAAAACAAAACAAAAGAGGGTAAGGCCAATATCACAAAGCGATTAAAGAGATGGAAGATAACTCTCTTCTAAGTCATTAAACTCACCGATATCATACTGAACTCCAGAGCACTTAGTATTTTCACGTGCCATTAGAGAATTTAGTGGGTTCACTGAATTGATTGATTTCTTTGTTAATCTATTTACATGGGTTAAGACCCTGACTAACATAAAACACAACCAAAATATGCGAGATAGAGACTGTAATGAAAGACTGAGTGATGTATGGTTTGGGGCACAGCCTATCCGATAAATGTGCTTGGCCAGCAAATAACCTATTGGCAAAGATTATCGGAACCAACACAATCTAAAAAGACCTAATACAATAAAACCTGCAGTATCAACACAAATTACTCTAAAATACAAATCATTTCCCCGTATAGTTGATCTTTCGATGATATTAAAATTCTCTTCATATGTTTTATTCAAGAATTTTTTGAACAAGTAAAAGAAATGCGTATGCTGCATAAATTGCCAATAATCGTGTAATTCTTTGATTCATTTAAAAAACCCAAAGTTTATGTTACTTAGAACTCTTCAACAATTTTTAAAATGTATACAAAGAGAAGGAAATATTTCTAGGAAATATATAATCAATATAAAAATGAACCACCTACTAGAATAAGTTATCATTATGTTTGAATTACATATAATACATTATTACCAAATTAATAAACATTAAGGACATAGAAATGATTTGAAATGTTATACCTCCAAGTTCTTTTACATTCAAGATGGCATTCTGGAATGGCACTGCTTTAATACTAAAACCTAAAATTAGAAAACAAAAACATAAAAAAGAATTAGCAACTTAACTTTTAAATTAAAATACTTACGATGCTCAAATCTTCTCTTTTTAGGCTGGTTAAGATTTACTTTTTGTAGCTGATATTTATACTAGAAACACATAATTTCCAAGGTAAACTGATAACTGAATATTATCTTCTACCATTATGAAAACATAGTTGGGGCTGGGTGCGGTGGCTCACGCCTGTAATCCCAGCACTTTGGTAGGCCAAGGAGGGTAGATCATGAGGTCAAGAGATAGAGACCATCCTGGCCAACATGGTGAAACCCCATTTCTACTAAAAATACAAAAATTAGCTGGTCCTGGTGGCACATGCCTGTAATCCCAGCTACTTGGGAGGCTGAGTCAGAAGAATCACTTGAACCAGGAGGCAGAGGTTGCAGTGAGCTGAGATCGGGCCACTGCACTCCAGCCTGGAGACACAGTGACACTCCATCTTAAAAACAAACAAACAAAAAACATAGTTGTGTACTACGGCAATATACAATACTATCCCCTTTACTTCAAAATATTGCCTTATTCTTTAATATGTAATGTCACTCTGCAACTTTTATCAGATGTAAGAAAGGCATTTGAAAGTATAGAGAAATTTCAAAGAAAATATTAAATCTGTGAGGACCTCTGCATCTAACTTTAATTCTTAAAGTTAATGTCTTATAATTCTTTCTCACATATAACTCAGCAACCCTAGAAATTAAGGTACTTAAATTATAACCATTTCATATTAGAATTACATAGTATTTATGTTAGTATCTTCTTTAAAGGATATGGTTAATATGTCATATATCTATTTTTCTTAAAAGTACAACAATAATTATCCACTTACGCACAATCATTTTATAATACATGTAATACAAGATTTGTATTATGAAAATATATTCAGAGTATATAGTTCTATGATTAATCATATATTTACAACTTTACTACCATTCAAGACAATAAATTCAGCTGTGACATATGCAAGTGTGCATATACCTATTCACCTGCACACACACACACAAATATATACAATGATTCTTTCTGAAGGATCCACAAGAAACCAGAGCTAATAATGACTCTCAGAAAAACTGGGAATCTGGAAATTTTAAATAGGAGGAACATTCTTTTGTTTCATTTGAATGTTTTGCCATGTACTTATATTTCTTTTTTGAATTAAAAGCCCTATGAATTTCTAGAAGTTAATTTATCAATAGTTTCTGAGCAACCATTCTACTTAAGGTTTTAAGCATTATTTAATATGTATAATTTTAATATTAAAAAACAGGTTTTCAATAACTTATCAACAAAGAAGACAAATTATGAGTCTTTCATTTGAGGTAAGTTATGAAAAAATATATAAAGTATTATATGGATAAAAACAATTCTTTTAAATGGCTTTGTTTTGCTTTACAAAGCAGGGAATCACTACACACCTTCTTAGTCCAGCCTATCTTTTGCACTTCTTTGCTGCATGTTATCCCAGTACTTTAATAATCTGTACATTACCTTCCACCTAAGGTAGTACATAGTATACAATGTTTGAAGAACTGACTTTGGAGTCAGACAGAACTAGGTTGAAATTCTAGCTCTGTTATTTATTAGATCTATGAATGTGGGCAACCTACTAGCCCTGCTTGGCTTTCTCATCTATAAAACAGGGATGATAATATCTACTTCATAGGGGTGTTATAAGGATGAGATAATATATGTGTTGTGTTTATCACAGTGCCTGGTGCACCGTAAGCACCTAATATATGATTGCTTTCATTATGTTTCCATTGATGCTTTTTCATCGATGATTTAATCATTAGGTATACATATTTTCTGCCTGCCTGAATATAATTATAAACTCGATTCTGGGTGCTCACTTATTAATCTAAGTATGTAGCTGGAGATGTAAAAGTTACCCTTGAAGGAAAAGTACTTTTGTTGAAGTGATGAAGTTGTCAACAGCTGAAGTTTGCTGCACAGAAAGTACGGAAAATGTTCATTGGGTCCTCTAATAATCTTCAAAAACACACCCCTTCCTTTGTGGGCTTAACGCAGATTGACACGGTCAGCACAGCATTATGGTTAATGGTGCATGAAGTCACTGAATCTTAGTAAATGAGCAGGAGGAAAGAGAAGGCAGTCCCATGTGGCTGGAACACTGGCATGTACCTGAGCCTGCAGGAAAGCCTCTCCAGGTGTCTGGCCTCTGGGAAATTAAGGAAAGTCAGCGCCAATCATAATATTCCTGCTGGCACAGAAATTCGCCTGCAGGAGAGTTGGATACTTGAATGGATCTACCTACCTCACATGGGTGTTATATGGATTAAAAGGCAATGATTGTGAAATCCTCAAAATGAAAAGCTCTCTGCAAATATTAAGCAGTCTATTAGCGGATATGCTCAGGACAACTCAAGTGTAGATTTTCTAGAGAAGTAGGACAGGCACAGGCCTCAACTTTGAAAAGAAAACGGTATGGAGTACACCACCAATGTTTAATCTGCTTTGATTCTTAAAAGCTGACAATATGCAGGCTCTCAAAGGGAAGTAATATCCTTCCAGAAATTGTTGCACCTATGTGCAAAATACAACTTTTGAAGTTTATTAACCCAACAGGCAGATTAAGTCTTCATAATAAGGTGACTACTAAAACGCCTTCAAAACTTCACGCTAAGCAAAGTATCCCAGCAATGTTATTTATAGGCATATAAATGTCCCGACAAAATACTCATAAATGTTTTCTAACCAAATAGAACTCGTGTAGTTAGATTTATACGGCAAAGGTATACACAGTCATCCATGTTGCTGTCTCCGTATTATTTTTATGGTTTAGCTTCAGTAATTAATGTTCAAAAGACCAAGTCTAGATAGACTGACTAGTCCAGAAAATAAGAAAATGTACTATTTATAGAACAGAAACAATGTTTTTTTCTATTTTTGTCATTCTAAACATTTGAAAGGATTAAATGGAACTAAAAATCTGAAGTCACACTTTCAGTTCACCAGAAGGACAATCAAGAAGGGAAATTATTAGACTATTTTTTTTTCCTTTACATCAGGTTGGATGAGGCCAAAGGGGAGAATTAATATAATACTTAGGAGGGATACCAAAGGTCAAAGCATCAAAATACCTTTCTCAAAGAGTTGCTTTGAGGAATAAAAGCTACCAGACAGCATTCGCTCTAGAGGAAGAAAGTCTGGGTTCAAATTCTTCCTCTTCCATTGATTAACTGTTTGACTTTGAGCAAGCTACTTTGTCAGGGAAGCTTTCTCTGGTGTCCTCGAACTAGACTGATTTTTCTGAGTCCGTGTTCTTTCAGTATTCAGTCCCCTCCTCAGTGATTTTCACAGTTGTAACTACATATGGGTTGATTTGTTTTATATTTGCTCTCTGGCTAGACTGCAAGCATCCATAATGAAGAAACAAGCTAGTGTATCCTGTAGGTCAGTGCTTGGCACACAATAGGATCTCAATACGCTAAGTATTAATATCTATTTCCTAATTTAGCTGCTATAACAATCCTAAAGTTAGTGTCAGTACTACCGTCCTAAGAAGAAAGTGAAGCTTACAAGCATTAAGTGCTTTGCCAAAAGTACTAAGTGCTGGCCGGGTGCGGTGGCTCATACCTGTAATCCCAGCACTTTGGGAGGCCGAGGGGGTGGATCACGAGGTCAGGAGTTCGAGACCAGCCTGGCCAAGATGGTGAAACCCCATCTCTACTAAAAATACAAAAATTAGCTGGGTGCGGTGGCAGGTGCCTATAATCTCAGCTACTCGGGAGGCTGAGGCAGGAGAATCGCTTGTACCCGGGAAGCAGAGGTTACAGTGAGCTGAGATCAGGCCACTGCAGTCTAGCCTGGGCAACAGAGTGAGACTCTGTCTCAAAAAAAAAAAAGTACTAACTGCTATATTCAAAACTTAAAACCAGGTCTCATCACCGAGCCCTACACTGTAGTGTCTCCTCCATATACCAACAAACTGAGAGATTCACACCATTTTGTCCAATTTTGAGCCTAAATACTGGTGAAGTCAACTTGCCAAATACACATGGGCCTAATAAACCCACTAATTTACTGTCCTCCCTGTTTATAAATAACCCAACACAAGAAACCCAAATAAGGGTTTTCAGGTCCATATGACATTGCTTTCTTAATGAAATAATAATAATAGCATGAGTTTAGAATGTACATTTTATAGAAATAATAAAATCAACAACTTAGGAGGGAGGGAAAATGTTCAACTGACTCATCCATGACAATGTAACTACTCTCTTGCTTATTCAAACAAGAAGTGTCCTACGATGCTATCTTCAGGGTGTCAGTGTGCTAACATGACAAGGGACTATCCTAGAAGTCCGAGCCACAGCTCTTAGACTCACCAGCCATATTTTTGTCTTGCCTTGGCCTTGAATTCCTCATCTGCAAAATGAAGACTAAATTGGCTCTTTGAGATTTCCTCTAAAATTAGGATTCCATTATTTATATTAAACAAGCAGGAGGAAATAAAAGTAACCACTGAGTCAATCATCAATGGCCTGTAGTATTTGGCTGAAGGCTTCATGGGTAAGTCTCCCCAGGCTCCATTCAAACAATTTGATGGCTGAAACCTAAGTTACGCAGTCATTTTTTCCTGGCCTATCTAAGCTACATTAGTAAGACTGAAACCTCCCCTAAGATTTAACCCCACAAATTTTTAATAAATATATGACTTAGTAACTCTTTGGGGAAATAATTGTTTGCATAGCCTTTCAGTCTTTGTTTTGCAATCCTTAAATCCAACAAAACCTGTGAGACAAGAAAGATGAATTTGAAGTTTTTCATGCACTGAAAGCATTCCTGGAATTGTAACAAAATTAGTTTTGGGAGGAAGGTTAGTCTATTTTTATTCATTGTGTGGAACACACAAGTATTTCACTTGGACCTACAGACTGAACCCTCCTCCCCTTCCCTGCAGTCTGAGTGCACACACACAGATACTTGTGTGCTTCTGAAATTC